AAGAGCCGACAGACGCATGTCAAGTGAGAGACGGGACGCACCATCTGGTGTTCTCCATAGCGCACCAACAGGGCTTATTTTAGTTTATTTTACTTCACCGCTGAGTGTCAGAGCCGTGAAAGCATTGATGAATAACACAGAGCGCTTCCTAATGCGAACACGCTGACATATTAACAATGCTTTGCAGCCTTTATGATAATGTGATGTCCTCTGGGACGATTCGGGCACACACACACCCCCTGCTATTCAACAAAGATTTCCTTAATAATGTTTATGGGTAAATGAATCTGTCAGACCCATGATCCTCTGTGTTTGTCATGTTTGTATCACTTTATCTTAAAATATAGCTCAGTCATAGATTGTTTGGCTCGTTTGAAAGGCTTTAATATTCCTGTTTTCCTAGTATTGTAAATAGGCAAAGTCACAAATATGTCCTTGCTTAAAGTTTGAAACACAAACAAACACTAAATACTGACCTTTGATTGGTAACTACACACACACTTAAAACATGTGTGGAGAAGAAGCAATGACAGGAAGGTTTCTTCAAGAGATCAATGGATTATTACAAAAATCAATGTTTCTAAATGCAATTTACATTTCTGACACCAGCAAAAGATATAACTGGCTTAAAATATTTTATTTTGTTAAAATACTAATGTGCCTAAGACTTTTGCACAGTACTAGTATATATATGTTTCAGTTTCACATTTTAGAAAGAAATACCGTTCTTACTTCTTGATATCAATAGTTCTGACAATGTTAATTTCTGATAACATGAATGTGATTGTTACTGTAAGAAAGCCATTTTAGATATCCGAAATTACTCTCCTATAACTATTGATATCAGAAATAACAAATGTAACATGTTAAAGTACACTTACAGATATCAAGAATGAACATTTCAACTAGTAAAAATTGAGTTCTCGATAATTATCAGGAATTTACATTTTCATTGTAAAAAAATATTTTCATGATTTGTAATCATAACATTTTTTATTTTGTCAAATCAACTTAAATAATTCATGTAGTTCAGATAACATAATATTTTGAGTTTCTGATGATTAATTCATTCTCCTTCATTGTGTTAACTTACTTTTTCCATTTAAATAAACTTAAAATTTTAAGGCAACCAGGTTACTTACTTTTTAAGTTAAACCAACAATATTTTTTACAGTGTTGATATAAAATTAATATCGCAAAGGCCTTACGATTACACTCACCAAATTTGAGGATGACCAGGTTAAAACTGTTGGAGTTTGTTAAAGTACGAGGCCTGAAAATGGCAAAAAACTGCACAAAAATCTGAGAGGAAGTTCAAAATGGCTGACTTCATGTTGTGTTTAGGGGTACGCTCCAAGAGACTTTTTTGTAGGTATTGGGTCATTACACGTATGTACCGAATTTCGTACACGTACGTGAAACGTAGTGGAAAGCGCACTCCGTTGAACTTTTATAGGTGGCGTTACAGAGCCATTTTGCCACGCCCGATTCTGAAACCCATATCAGATATAAATGTCCGCCAATTCTGATGCATGTGCAAAGTTTCGTGAGTTTTCGAGCATGTTTGGGCCCTCAAAAATACGATTCATCATGGAGAAGAAGAAGAACCATCGGAGAACCTCTCACCAAAATATAACTAGATTTTTACTATGAAGAATCTGAAAGCTAGATCTATCTATAATCAGAAAGCTCTATCTAAGCTCTTCTAGCTCTATCTAGAAAGCTAAATCTAAAATATCTTCAACTGTGTTCTGAAGAGTCATTAATGACATCATTTTCATTTTTGGGTGAACTAACCCTTTATATATTATTATTAAGGGTTTTAATAATAAAGGTCCTGTATTATGCCCCTTTTCACAAGATGTAAAATAAGTCTCTGATGTCCCCAGAATGTGTATGTGAAGTTTCAACTCAAAATAGATCATTTTTTTACAGCATGTTTAAATTGTCATTTTTGGGGGCTCAGAAAAACACGCTGTTTGAGTGTGTGCCCTTTAAATGCAAATGAGCTGCTGCTGCAGCCGGCACAGGGGGCGGAGCTTCATTAGCTCGCGCTCAGTCTCTCAGGACAATTTCACCTCACAGAATGATGATAATATCAGAAACTCTCAGTGACGGTGTTCATTTCCAGTCGGACAATAATGCCTACAGAGTCAGAGTGCTGTATAGAGATGGAACAGGTATAGTTTAGTAGTTTAATTACGGTTATTATTATAACGTATTTGTCATCTGCTTGTATGTATCCATTATTATTATTAATAGCCTACAAGTCTGCTGTTTCGGACCAGGTCCGAATGATGATCAAACATATACTGATGAGTTTCATAAAGTTTATTGTACATCACACAAAAGATGAAGCGTCAGTTTTACTTCAGAAAATCACTGTAAGACCTGAGTAAACACAGTAAGTTGAGGGAAAGTTCCTGTGGGCGGCGGACGTTAGTCAAGAAACTGTTCTACTGACGTCATTAAAGAAGGAAGTCGAGGGATGTAGTCCAAA